TTCAACACAACCAAGTGCTGGAACACATAATATTTCAGGACAGGTGCACTTATTCTGATAACCCTTACCGTAACTTGGGTATCGACAAAGTTTTGAACAGTTTTCACCAAAATGACCAAGCACACATTCTAAAAATCAAAATCTATATACTGTAAGTACCAACGACGTGATACAATTTATCATGAAGATAAGGTAGAGAGCAGATCTGAAGCCTTTTTTGGCTACGTTAAATGTGTTCTTTCATTTACTTGAAATTTACTTGAAATATAGTTATTGATTGATTACTGCAGATTCCTTTTTTTTCGCTAGTACGTTTTATCGCGAACTTGGTCTTTAACGTCAAACCGCTAGAATTATAATTCTCGAATGTACGGTTGATCAACAGAATTTACATTGACTTCAGCACCATGAAAATAAAAGCGAGTAATATTTTTTGGCGAGTGACGCTTCTCGCGAAATTACGCGGAAATTAATTCCACGCGTATAATTAGGAATATACAGTAGTATTTTCGATGTTTCAATCAAAGATTGGAGCAAACAATTCCCTAACCTTTGCAAGATTGTTCCTTTTCATTCCAGTAGTATCCAATACAACACGTTCTTTCACCTCTATATAATGTGAGTTTTGAGGAAAATATATAATAAGTTAATACCCCAAAAAATCATTACAATGCTAAAATATTTGCCGTGGGCCTTTACATTTTTATTTTGAATTTCATATGTAGAAATTAGCCGTGCTTACCTGTAACAATTAGGATTTCCAGTGTGTATGAGTAATGATGCTACATGTAATAAGAATGTCTTCTTTAAGATGTCCATGTTTACTGCGTCCAATGCAGTGAAATAGAGTAATTCAGTGAGTAGTTATATTATTGTATATCCTTCTTGTGTTATTTTATCAATATAGACAAACATGTACACAAGCGTTTTAAATGGAATGATGACTACTTTTTTGCGATCACGTGATAATGCTTTTTTTTTTTTATTGTGTCCTGTTTTAGAATGATGCAAAAATTATAAGGGAAAAATTATATGAAAGTCTCTAGAAATAAAATTCTAAAGAAAAAGTAAATTTTATTTATGAGAAAAGCACTAAAAATATCTTGTTTGCTTATAAGTATAGCTTATATAAAAATTTTGTATAATACAATCATCACTAATCAGCTATCCACTGCATCTTTACCTTCCAGATGTATGCAGATATGTTAGAGGTCTTCTCCAACATCCGTAACTGTGATTTTCATTTTTATAGAGTATACTGTTAACTTTTCGCTTTGATTTAGATTGAAATTAAGACTAATTGTATACGCCTGCTATATGTATAAATAATGTTTCCCGTGTTTCCATAGAAAACACAAAAAGTCTTCATGAAACAAATTCTGGAATGAAGTCAAGAGGACATTGATAAAAAGAAAAAAAGTCGTGTTTAAAACTGAGTTTGTAAATGCAGGATTAAATAGATTTGAATGCAGATAACCAAAGACCAGAATACTTCAGTTTGAAACAAACCGCCTTAATATTAGGTATTGTAATTTCCTGGTCTGTTCTGTCCTCCTTCTCTTCCTTTGATATATAAACCAATGTGGCGCTTTAGTGAGACACGTACCAGGCTTAATTATAAACCTTAAATCGTGTTATTTATAGGGTAATTGATGTGGCAATCTATGAGGTACAGGTGATGACATAGCTCATTTAATAAAGTGGCAGTAAAATAATTTTTCTTTTTTCTGTGATTCTTTATAAACTTTAATGGTAATACTGAACAGAGAGAGAGAGAGAGAGAGAGAGAGAGAGAGAGAATTTGAGTCGTATATTAAACAGGTCGAAATCACTACCTTATATGGAAGGCAATTTTCAACACGTGACGATGTCTTCGTCACACCCGTTCTCCAGTCAAGTGAAAGAGACCCAAAGCATGACACTCTACGTGTTTACGATTCAATGGCGACACGTGGATTTCGTTTAATGCACATTATTTAACTCGTCACCGGAAAATCTTCTTTATCACTTTATAAGACCGAAATTGAAAAATTATTTTCTAAAGACATTGCTCCATGCTCACATTTAATATTGAAGTTGTTTTAGATGATAATAGCTGCTTCGAATACCGTTCAAACATTGTGATGTTTGCATGTACATAAAGTAATATTGAGGGGTTAAATAATAATTGCACACCTTCTCCTGCTTTCTAAAACCAAGGACCTATATACTACCTGCTAAAACTATGTACACATATATCACGTGAAAAAATTTCAATGTTTTGTCGACACGATACATGTAGCACAGTTCTACGTCCCTTTGAACAATGGTTAAGGCCGATGTATTATAAGTTAATTTAAGGCTTTATAACGCAAATTTTGTAAATGTGAGCATAGAAATAAAAGATTATACATCATTTAAAATATTTCTTCCACAAATCTAAAAAAAGAATTGAAAATAAGTTCCAAGGGACAATTCAAGTTGCCCTTTATTTTCAACACAGCTGAGTACTTGTAGTAGCCCACAATGCATCGCGGCTCATTCATCAGTGGGTAAAGTAAACAGATAGCTAATTTACATGCAAATTTATTCTGACGTTAGAAAATCTAGTGGTCAGGACCTGTCAAATAAAAGCCATTCGTTTTTGGGACACAAGATGTTATGTCAATGATTCATTGCCCCAATAATTTTCTAAATATATGTTACATTTATCCCCAGCTCTATTATGTTTCAATTATTGGAGTACTAATTTAAGTATACTCTTGTTGATTTTAGTGCTAATATTTTTCCGCTATGTCGTATAAATTCATTACGTCCTTATTTTATTTGATGAAAAAAAGTGAGGAGTGCTATATTTATGATTTTCAATGCGTAATTAATATGGAATGTATGATATCTTTCTTGATGAATAAACATATTGACAATTCGTAGGAAATACAAAATAGGAGATCGACTTTCATTTAGGGGTTTGAATACTGCATAGAGAATGCGTAAACCCAAGTCCTTAACGTCTCCAGAACGCGAATGCATTCAATATTCATTGTTAATTCTGAGTTTAGTGGTGTTGTCAAGTTGGTGTCAGAATTGTTCAAGGTAAGATTTTATTTAGTTTTTTTAATAACTTGCGTCAATATCTTACTGAAAAATATCAAATATATAACGCCTATATATAGTAAATTACGGTTATAACGAAGCAATTGGGACCTATGAAACTGTTTCGCCGTATCCCTTATTCGTTTTATCCGTAATATCAATGTATACTGATTTTTTTTATAAGATCCAAGAGAGTTTCGTTATATCCATAAACTTGCAATATCCGTGTTCGAATTAAAATAATTCATTGTTTAACTATTATTAATACATTTTTTTTAGCAAAGAAGATCCGAATAAATGTTGCATAGGTTATTGGTATCACCCTCATTTTAACCAATGTTCGAGTAGGTCAATAAAATGAATTTTTTAGTATTTAAAATTGTTATCTTCAAATACAAACATGTACTCTGCATATTATATAATATATAGTAATAGTTACACTGCATATATAATATATGGTAATATTTACATTTGGGAAACGCTTCAGAATGCCCAGACGGGTACTATGGTTTGAATTGTTCAATGGTTTGTCCATATCCCAACTTTGGTGAGCTCTGCAGAAATCAATGTAACTGCACGCCAGCTTATTGTCATCCGACCAACGGATGCTATCCCGAAAGTTCAGGTAAGCAAAAGAAGAGTATTGAAATCCAGTTATAAAAGAATAGCTGAAATTGTGATTTATTTTGAGGTTATTAAAAGTTTTAAATATATATACCCGGTTCTCACTTTTTTAACTTTGTTTCCAAAACACTTGAACGGAAATGTTTTGTCAATTTACAAACAAATGATAGAAAATTGAAATATTGATTTTGTTGCACTTTTTCTCTCATAACCAAAAATTTAGGGGTATATAGTTTTTCTTCTGACCGTCTGTCTGTCTGTCTAGCAGTGAATCTTTCTGTTTTTCTGTTTGTCCGCAAAAACTCTAATACTGTCATTATTTGAGTAGATGGGGCCATGGATTTTATATATGCGTTGCATTTCTCGTGAAAAGAAATTTCCTTGGGTTCAACTTAATTTGACCTCTTTACGTTGACCAAAGATTTTGACCGACTTTCACAAAAAAAATACATATTTTTCACGTGGCCATGAATTTCAAACAGTTGGTACTAGGGCTTTCATACTGTAGATGTGTATTCATTGTGGTAAGACCCTTCAATGGGTATAAATAATTTTGACTTTTGACCTTGACCTCAAAGTTTGACTAACATTTAAAGAACTTAAACCCTTGGCAATAACTTTAGAACACTTAGCATTAGGTCTCAAATATTAAACGTATGTATTCATTCTGACAAGTCCTTTCTTTGGATACCATACATTTTAACCTTTTGGTCTTGACATTTGAGTTAAACTTGCTTTTGAAAAACTTAAAGCCCCGCCGTAAATGGTAGGAAACTAATATTGTTTCAGTATCTATGCTGATTTGTATGCTTCCTTTTATTGGTGATTTAATGTCAGTAATCCTAATCCTGATGCTGTTGTATAATTAGATCAGGAAGTGCTGCAACCACTATTGAAATAAAGACCACTACATAGAACTAATTATTTCATTGGTGAACGTTATTTCAATAGTGGTTCAACCTTTGTTTGGTTTGAAATGCATGATGGTGCTGATGGTTATTGGTTTTTTCAAAAGCTTATCCCTATGCCAACTACAATGTATATGCTAATGCTTACTTTGCTTAATCTGATGCTGATTCCATGTATTGTAATCTACCATATGGGGGCATCGATGTTTCAGCAAAACCTTTTTTGTACACAAATAAGAGTACATTTTCCACCAGGAACATATTTCTCGATTTTTTTCAGCAGGAAGAAAAGGTAACACTGGGTAAGCTCTATGCTATCAATATTTCATAAATGGATTTCCTGTTCTTATATTCTGTGCTTTTTATGCGCATTTTATGCAGAATTATTCTCTTTTACATTTATTTTTTACAGAAACAGGGCTTCAAGTTGTTCCACTAATTACTGGTATAAAGAGGACAGTAATGAATGTGTTGGTAATTGACTGAATAAATCCTATATTTTTAATTTACTCAAAACATGAAATTTGTCTCTTTTTATGATACGTTATTTTTGTAGAATTTGCTGTTATATGCGTCTGTCTATTGCTTTAATTGATACAAATAACGAGTTAAATAGAATTTGGATTTTTTAAATTTTAATGTAGTGTGCAATCAAGGATATTTTGGTCCCAACTGTACAGAGCTGTGTCCATTTCCATTTTACGGAGTAGTTTGTGCTCAAAAATGCAACTGCTCTTTCGACGACTGTAACTACGCTACAGGATGCCCAGTGCTACAAACTGAAACTAATGGTATGAGTATACTAAAGTTTATGTACTTGTTTTTTGATGTTGAAAATATCTTATGCATGCATATAGAAATCATCAGATAATGTTGGAAGATAAGCCTTATAGTCAATGCAATTAGAAATACATAAATTGATTTCCAAATAATAAATTAACTAAAACAAAAACATGCAAATCATTATTCCTTAAATAGTTTCGAATTCAGAAACGAGCAAATTTAAGGAAAGCTACCATTTTTATAACAAATTAACATGTTATTCGGGGAATTTTAACCTTACCAAAAATGTAAGAATTAGAAAAACAATATTCATTTATATCAAATGGAATTATTATATATTTTAAATTGTAAATATATATTTAATACATACAGTTATTTATTGTACGACAGGATTTGCTTTATTTTTATTTCGTTATAAATATTGCAAAATCAGAGAACTTTCAAAACATGTATTTAAGACGTAAGTAATCTACTAAACACTATAGCTAAGGCATCATGTCACTTTGCTAGAAAAAAAAAATCAGAATATCACTGTATTGTTCAAGAAAAGTAAAGCAAAAATATAACAAAATATCAAACATAAAAATGAATTCCGAAGGTATGCTATTATCTTCTTGCAGGGACAACGTCTTCCAGTGCGGAACGTGATACGTTTAACCGGAAACGTCTAAATATTCGCATAGGTGTGTTTGTCTTTGGTGGTATTCTTCTTGTTATTGTTCTGCTCTTCCTTTTGATTGAATTGCTTCGAAGGACAAGACGAAGTGTCGTTGAACAACAAATATACACTGAAAATGGACCAGCGTATGAGGAAATTCAAATCAATGAAGAGCATCCGTGTTAAAATATAATGTGACCCATGCAGAAAATCGCAAAAGAGAAAAAAAAAGAATTTGTTAATAATGATACGCGAAATTTCGAGAAAAAGAAGGTTAAAAAGATGACTAAAAAGAATTATAGTAACTGACTCCAGTTATTAGACAATACATTCAAAAAAGTCTTACACAAACGTGTTATTTGAATTTTTTTTAAAAAAATGGAAAAGTCAATTAACCACTGCTGTGTAGGGTAATCCATTGCCCTGAAAGTACTTTACAGACAAAACTATCTATTTTATAGATATTTCAAGAGGGATATGGAGGTTTCCAATCTCAAATTCCATAACCGATACAAAATAGGAGCAGAGCAAATACGGACCTCCAAAACATCAAAGGTGAGATCAGGCGTTATGGAGGATTGAACATCCCCTGCTGTTCCGTCACACGCGCTGTGTGCTAAATTATTTCAGGAAATCCTACAAATGCTTTAAAAAAACCTAGCGTTGTAAACAAGCTGCTTTTGGTACATGTACAACAATCGAAAGCATTTATTAATACTGATTTTTTTTGCAATAAATTTTTAATCAATTGATATATATATTTAAATATGTACTTGTATCTTTAAAAATCAAAAGGAGATTGTACTCAGTAGAGATAATGTATGCAATCATATTCAAAAGAGTGCATACCAAACTTGGTGTTTGTGTTGGTGTATTTTTTTTATTTGAGGACGTAAAGAACACTAGAGTAAATTTAGGCTGAGTATGGCACACTTTAAGTGAACGTTTGGCTTGGTGTTGAGACGCAAATGCTGCTTTTAAAGTTTTTTTTTCTATTTAACACTGAATTTAATTTAAATGAAAGACATATTTACTTTTCAATTTTTTTTTCACAAGCTTTACCAAGAAAAAAAAATCATCTTTCTTAAATTAAAAAGATTCAAACTTTTTTTTTTCAAAATAAGCATTGAAAAGCTATATTTAATTCTCGAAGCAGATGCTTTTTTTTAATCATAAATAGAAGAGTTCATTTGAACTGGGAGAAGACTAAAATAAAAGAAGTTTGGCTAATTCCAAGGAGAGAACTTTATAAATTCTCGCATTTTCTTACCAATTGTAAATGTATTTGCTCTGCATTGAATTCAACAATATACAGATATTTTCTTTGGTTTGTAAGTGAAGACATTTGTAAAGAAAGTGAGAACTTATAAAGTACTCTTACTCTACTCTTACTGTTTAGATGATTTTAAAAGATTGTATGATGTTTTATTCCCCTTTTATGATTTTTACTCATATAGATAAGTCGCAATAAAAGGTGAAGGGCTCTAACTTGAAATTCATGGCATTGAGCAGTCGGAAATCCTTATTTTTGTCAACGTGAATCGTGACAGGGGCATCAATCCCATGATTTATACATGTATACGACTATGCGTAACATGAATGGCAAACCGTACATGAAAATAACAATATACATATGATCATGCACCTGTGCCCTCATATTTGCAATTGTCGTAATGCACATGAGATAAAAACAAAATTTTAATACCAGATTATGTACATGTAGTATTAAAAATACTTTGTTATCTTTATAATATTAAATAATGCACCAGGACAAATTTATTTTGATTTAGGAAGGTTTTTTTATAAAACAAAATACAACAATTGTTGCTTACACCTGTTGAATGATTACAATAAAGGAATAACCAGATTACATTCCTTTTTTAGAGTTTTCCTTCGCAGTATTTATAAAAGTGGAATTTCTTGTTTTGAACTTGACGTCAATTATATTGAGTATAAATGCAGTTCTTGTGCATATGGCTTGACATTAATATTATAATCAAGAAAGTTATTGGTTACTTGTCGAACATCCATTATGAAATTCTTTTAGAGTAAAGTTTTAAATACATATACTGATATTCTAATTTAAATAGAAAACGGTTATCCACTCATATGTGAAACTTAGACACATGGTCTCATCTCTCCTAAAATGGAATTTAACCGACATATATTAATTATCATCAGTCTTTCGGGTTTTGGAAAACAGAGTCCTTGTGGAAGGTAATATATCATTTTGATAGGCGTATTTAATGAACATTTTAAAAAATAAATAAATAGTATGCATCAATTGTTGTTTATAGTAAAAATTGGTCGAAAAATATCCTGTACTGTCCTTTGGTACGAGCTTAGATATGGTTATTGTTTGATTACGTAAATGGTGATTTTTTTAAGAGATTGATTTTTCTACTTTGTCAAAGCAATATCATAATAATCAAATGAGGTCATTATAAAAACAAACAAAAAGCATACTTCAGAATGTCTATACAGGTACCATTGTCAGAATTACACAGATGTTCGTCCATATCCAGACTCTGGAGAGTTCTGCAAACATGTATGTAACTGCTTGTCAGCCGTTTGCCAAAAGACGGTAGAATGTTTTCCCAATAGTTCAGGTAAGCACTCACGTAAAGTTGCAAATACATGTACACTTATTTTAAATATTTTTTTTTAAGTTTTAATTTTATCCTTTCGTCATTTTCAGTCTTGAAAAAATATTTTGACATGGCACACATACTCATAAAATGTATCCTCGACTCCTAATAGCATATAAAACCACATATTTTCTAGTCATAAGTTCATTAATTTATATACAAAAAATAACTGCATATTTTGATGCTGATGTATAATCCTACTCTTGAAATTTTCTTCAATTATTTGATTGTATCATTGTATTTTTCAATTTTCAACATACGTGTAACTGCAACTAAATATTTTTCTCAACATACATGTAGCGCATGTACACATTTGAATATTCACCTTAAATAGGGCTTTATATTTTGCTTTTCTTTTGTCAATTTTGTCTACTTGTTCCATCTTGTTTAAAGTTATCAGAAAAATGTGTTTTGTTGAACCTTTTCAGATGGAGAGTGTAATCCTGGACATTCTAGAGCCTATTGTATGAAGACATGTCTACTTCAATTATATGGTGTATGGTGTAAACAAACTAGCAACTGTTCTGAAGAAAATTACAGTTATTCCAGAGGATGTCCTACGTGTATACCAAGTAGCAATTCTAATGGTCAGAATGAACTCATTAATTTGGTACAATTGATCTCGTAGGATTATATATGAGAAAGAATTTTTTTTAAAAATGCAAATACTACAATTTATTCAATATTACGATCCATCTAAAAATGAATAATAATGCTCTTTGTATAATTATAGGTACATAAGAAATCAACATCTGCAGTTTCGCTACATCTAAATAATTTATTGCTAAAATTTAACATGTCTTCTACTTTTATGCTAACTTAAAAAATATACAGACATTGTTTTTGTTCCAAGAGAGAACAAAATCATTTCTTGCAAAACATACACCTGTTGGCCTAGCAATCGATGCAACGCCGATAAAGGTTGAAAAAGGCAAGGGTTTAGGATATTCCCCATACAGGTCATATTATACGTGAAAACATTGCATTCTTTGTACTTTTTTTCTATTTTGAATAATTTTTCGACCATCAATAAGCTGGATTGTGCATATATTGTTGAACAAAAAATAAATAGCTTTATTTTATATCAAAAATAAAATTAAATAAAAACTTCAAATAAAATGACCTTCCCACAGGTACAATGTAAATTTGTTATTTTGAGATGTAAAAAAAAAGGAATGGTGTTGATCGAGTGGAGGTGAAATGTAGATATTTTGAATTTAATTATATTTTTTTCTCTTTATAATGCATCTACGCTTAATACATGGGCTATAAAATATGTACATTTGTTTTGTGGATAAACATGCGAAAGCATTACTGGAAAATCATCAACCAGAGAGAAAAATAAAGCCCTCAAAGTACATAACTAACAATCACTCTTGTTTTTCAGAGACGAAGGCCACCAATGTAAAAATCAATGAACGTTTTCATCTTCGTGTTGGTGCATACGTCTTTGTAGGAATTACGATTTTTGTGATAATCTGTATAATGGTCGAGTTGCTTCAATCTACAGGAAAGCGTACCAATGAGCATATGATCTAACATGAACCAATGATTCAGGATATGTAGACCTCAAGGGTTTCATTTTTTTTATTATATTGCGTTAATATGTTATCAATTGTTACAAATTGTACAGTATTTGATCGGATGAAAACAATCTGTGAAGAAACGGTTCAGCTGTAAAAATCTTATAGGAAGCTTTTAAAACTTGGAACGTCAATGAAAGCCATAGACGCTTCAGATTAGCTGATCCTTTGAAAGCAGAATTATGTAGCAAAATAAGTCAAAACATCAACGAAGGAAATTATACAATGAGAAGAATTGAAATTCATGACTCTATTTTTTGAAGATACATTGCCCGAAAGTGTGATCTGACGATACAAAACTTGTTGGTATCAAAATGAAGAAAAGAGATTCTGTTAGAACAAACGGAATAAAACTTCATACATCAAAAAAAAATTTACATATATTTACATATTATATTGGGTTTCTTTTAAACTTCTTGAAAGTAATATAACGAATATTGAAATGGTTTACGAACTTTGTGAACAGCCCTTATATGTAGTTGCTTCTTCCACTTACCTTCATGTACATGTAACATGTTTTTGTAAAGTTACTATAGCGTTACTATATTAAGAAACAATACGATAGTTGAACACTATGTCGTTCTTTAACGATTATTTTTTTTATCCGTTTCTGATTATCCGTTTTCTTCATTATTTCTGTATAAAAAGATGGTATTTAAATAACAAGGTGACCAAGATTTTGCTACATAGAACGGATACTTAAAACTTCATAATATAGGTGTACATTTCCTTAGATTGTTATCAGTAATTTAAAGTAAGTTTTCATTGTATATTCATAAGTATGTTCTAATTTTCCGACAAAGATATAGATTTTGATAATTTGCATTGTTTTTCTTATTTATTCAAAATTATGAGAAAAAGAAAAAGATATAATATAGTTGTTTAACTAGAAAAAAACATTAAATGATTTGAAGTAACAAAGGAAATTAGATTTAAAACTATAAAATATACAAGTTGTTACATGTACTATTAAGTTTATCCAAATAAAATTTTTTTCGTTGTTGTTTTTTTTTTCTGCAATGACTACAATTTTTAATTCTCAAAGTAACTTATTTTGTTCGTAACATTTCTTTGGGTCGATACATGTATAAAAAGTAAATAAATCTCTTTTTTTTATTTATACACATGTTATGTTTAAATGGTTACGTTAAATATCTTGTTGATTTTATATTTACGTTAATGCTTGATGATCCGACTTTATGCTGACTACTTTAAAACATTTTTGAAATAGCGTATGGTAAATTGATTTATAACAAAATCGATTTTCCTTGTTAATAAAGGGGAACGTATTCAGTGGAACTATGTTTTTAAACTTAATTTTCTTTTCTACAGTCAATACGATATGTTCTAATCTTATTGTGCACACAAACAGTAAAAATATGTATGTCGATAAAGTTTAAAATTATGAGGGCTATTAGTAAATAATTGAGACATTGTGTATATTTTGCTTTCTAATGAAC